AAGTAAAAAGAGAAAAGATTAAAGAAAAATAATCCTCGAGGGTGAAAAAAGAAAATGCATTTGTTTTTTGAAATTATCTCGAATGTGCAATAATACTAACTTCTAAAATACTGCAATAAAATTAATGTAATGACTCTTAAAAGCAACGAAGTGCAAGTAAAAGTACCAACTTTTCAAAACAACGTAGAACAAGTAAAAGTACTAAATTTCGAAAGGAAATACAAGTCAAATCACTAACTTTCAAATAAAATAAAGTGCAAATAAATGTACGATACTTTTGAAAATAACAAAGTACTAATAAAAGTACTAAATTTTTAAAAGTAACGAAGTGCAATGATATATTAGTGAAAAATGAAGAAACGTTAAAAATTTGGCAATATATGAGTTACAATTTCAATCTTATTTTTTCTTAAACTTTTTGGAGAAATAAAACTTATCTTTTTCCTTCTGCAATACAAAAGACTACAGAACACTATTTCGAATATAAATAATTTTACAATATCGATGAGTAAGAGTTATAAAAATTTGTAGCCTCATTTTAATATGTCTTATTTTTCAATTNGTACTGCAATAAAATTAATGTACTAACTTTTAAAAGCAAACGAAGTGCAAGTATAAGTACCAACTTTTAAAAACAACGTAGTTCAAGTAAAAATACTAAATTTCAAAAGGAAATACGAGTCAAATCACTAACTTTCAAATAAAATGAAGTGCAAATAAATGTACGATACCTTTAAAAATAACTACTAATAAAACTTTTAAAATAAGTACTAATAAAAGTACTAAATTTTTAAAAGTAACGAAGTGCAATGATATATTAGTGAAAAATGAAGAAACGTTAAAAATTTGGCAATATATGAGTTACAATTTCAATCTTATTTTTTCTTAAACTTTTGGAGAAATAAAACTTATTTTTTTCCTTCTGCAATACAAAAGACTACAGAACACTATTTCGAATATAAATAATTTTACAATATCGATGAGTAAGAGTTATAAAAATTTGTAGCCTCATTTTAATATGTCTTATTTTTCAATTATTGAAAATGGAACTGATGCTGTCTCCCAAATAATATGAAGTTATCATTTCAAAATTATAAAATAAAGAAAAAAGTATCTATATGAAAGAGTTGCTTCACAGAAGCAGAATCTACAATGTTAAAAAATTCCAAAGAAGTAGTAGCTAAAAATTAAATTTGATATTTTTTTAAATTTTTAATCAGTTTAAAGAAAAGTACTTATTTCGTATAATCTATCGACATGAAATTATAATTAAATAAGTAAGCAAAAAGTCATTGAATTTTAATTGCTTATTTTAATTGCGTTTTGTATTCAGATGCGTAGCTGCAAACTTTTAAACACGTAAGCAGATAGGTAATTATTTTTTTTTATTTTATTTATTTTTTTTTTCAAATATTTTTGTTATGGATACATATGGATGTTAATGGATACATTTTGCTTCTTAAAGTTTCTAAAATAAATTTCTATTCCACGATGACAAATCAATAATTTAAAATGTATGTTTAAGATCTATTAGTTAGACATAATGTTGACTTTTAAATGTTGGTGAAGTAATTCAATTTTTACAAAATTCATACTTAGTATAATTTTTTATTTTTTTTACTTTTAACCAAAATTCTAAGAAAAATATTTATTTCGCATAATAAACGTGAAACTGTTAACTAATAAATAAACAAAATGTCATCAAATTTTCATCACTTATTTTAAATGCGTTTTGTATTAAGATAATCTATGCATAGCTGCCAATTTGTACAACAAGTAAGTATTAGAGCAAAAAAAAAAAAATTTTTTTTTTTGGTGACTATTTTTGTTTTAGCAAATTATTTTTTCTTTTTGTGGTTTTTAAATTGCCTCACCACTATGACAAATTTAAATGTATTGGTTATTATATATTATATTATATCATATTATGTTATATATTATATTATATTGCATATTGTATTATATTATATATTATATTATATAATATATAATGTTTTCCCTTCAAATTATAACGAAGTGCAAGACATATATATTAGTGAAAATCAAGAATCATTAAATATTTGACAATATGCGAGTTATGGTTTCAATTTTGTTTTTTCTTAAACTTTTTTTTAAAAATAAAACCTTTTTTTTTCTTAGCAATATTAAAGACTACAGGATACTAATTTGCATATAAATTGGATATGAGTAATTTTACATTATAAAAATATGAATCCTCAATTTAATATGCTTTACTTTTCTCTGAAATTGGAAAGAGATTATTGGAAAGGGGAATAGAGATTGTCCCACAAAGATATCAGTTATTATTTAAATACTGCAAATGAAGAAAAAAAGAAGAAAAAGAAACTCATCGATTTGAGAGGGTTGCTGCACAGAAACAGTACCTATATTATTTTCAAAGATAAAAAATGCATTCGCCAAAAATTGACTCTAATGCAGAATTGATATATTTTTTTCTTTTAATTTTTAATCAGTCTTTTGAAAAATATTTATTTTGCATAATCGAAAAAAAATTATAAATAAATAAGTAAGCAAAATGTTATAAAATTTTAATTGCGTTTTGTGTTAAGATGGTTAGCTGTGAACCTGTACAACGCGTGAGATGTTCGGTAATTTTTTTTTTAATATTTTTGTTTTAATAGTTAAATTTTAATTTTTGAAGTTACTAAAATAAATTTCTCTACCCACAATGGCAAATCGATAATTCAAAAATGCATATTTTAGATTTATTAGTTAGACAATTATGCTTTTATATGTTATTGAAGTAGCTCAATTTTTTAGAAAATTCATATTCAGCAGAATTTTTCCCAGTGACTGCATCACATGAGCCAACTTGCTTTTCCATGAGATTTCATTTTTACAATTAATCTAGTTGCCACTTATATGAATTGGAACTCGATTCCAGTTTTAGAAAGATTTAATTTATAATGATTTTGTCGACCGTTGCGTTTAAATTATTTAAACTTGCATTTTGGAGATCTACTACTTATAGTTTAGTGTTTGTAAGAGTAGGCTAAATATAAATGCAATGTCAATTTAAATTTCGTTTTTCAACCATTCAATGACAGCTCATTTGAAGAGCGTAAAACTTGCCAGGTTTGCGGTATAAGTTAGCAACAATGTTAATTATATAAGTTTTTTTTTCTTTCTTTTTTTGGTTTTTAAGCCTAAGAGTAAAAGTTATGTAAAGTACTTTTTTTTAAACATATACTACTTATTGTTTAGTGTTTGTATGAGTAGGCTAAACATAAATGCGAATTTTTTTTTCTTTTTTGGATAGCTTAAAAGAAAATGCCATGTTAAAACCTTTTTTTAGTTTAAAAATACTATGATAAAAACGGCGATAATTAAATGCATATTGGAATTATAATGATGTGATTTTAATTACATAATTTTTTATTTTGTACTTTCGTGTTTTATCATGAGCAAAGCTAAGTAGCATTTTTGGTTGCAAAAATTCCATATAAAATACTGCTTATAATGTTAAAGAAAAATACTGTCCATTGCTTAAAATATTTTATAAAGCTGGAAAAAAAAAATCTATATACTGTTGAGTCTGGATAATTCAAGGTGGATGGGAATGAGCCTACCTCGAACTTTCGAAAACTTAGATTTTAATACATATTTAAATAAATCAAAACAAGGCAATTTTTAGAATTTCAGTATTTAATTGAGAAATGTGTTTCATTTAAAAAAATTTAAGTACGTTAAAAGGATCAGGGTACATTTACTACTTTGAACCAAGTTACAATATCCATTATAATACTGTATCAAATTAATTTTACTTTAAAATAGTTGTCTAATTTTTTGTTGTTGTTGTTTAAACACAGTATTCACATGTTTCAGTGTTTATCACACAATATCGTTTTTCAATCAGGTTTTTCATTATTCAGACGTAGTAATTGTCTTAAAATCAATCGTAGTAATCTTTGCAAGTGCTGTGAGGGAGCAACGCTAACTTTTTTCTCTAGCTTGGATTTTTAGGAAATATGAACAACCGAAACACGAATTATCAAGATTATACTGTACTTACTTTTTAAATTTTTTATTTATTTATTTTTATATTTATTTTATTTTATTTTATTTATTTATGTATTTATTACTATTATTTTTTTTTTTTTT